CGTAGTGCGCATCGGAAGTTCACCCACTTCATAGCCCATTTCAGAGCGGCCGATCAAAAATTTATCCCCGTTGTTTCATCTTAACCAATTTCATCTTAACCAATTTTCTGATTTTTCGGAAAAATTAGAGTCGTCACTACATAAACGACGAAGTACTAGAAACTGTATATGTAAAAAGGTGATTCCTATGTAAAAAGTAAATTTCTTGCTCAGAAGTTCATTTCATGGCGACGGCATAGGGCTAATTTGCATTTATGTAGTTCAATGGAAGGCAAGAACAAACGTGTTTTCTTATCTCCTTGTTGAGGCAATAAATTTCCGAATAGTCCATGAGCCAAGGGGCCTAAACGTTATGCCTCGTAGCACCCCCCATGGGACATAGTTAATTTGATATCAAATTAAAGCTTATGACCTATATTTTTAGAATCTACCTGTTTTCAAATCGGTAACGTGCGCTGTAATGAGATATTGGGCTGTTTCCATGGGGGATGGGGTGAGGAGAGTTTGCTTACTATAGACGTGGTGATAAGATAAATGGTCCATGCCTCTAACAAACATCAACCAAATTGGTTCAAATTTGCAAGATATAGTTGTTGTATCATAAGCTACCCAAATGAGTTATCGGACCTAAGGTTTTTGTTTCCATGGCAACAGGCACCAGTCAAATACTGCTCGGATATGAAAATGTGTGATTTTTCGAATAAAAAATGAAATTTTATACATTTAACTCGAGAAAACACCCATAAAAGTATTCTACAGTAAGAGCGTTTGCTCTGAGACACCTTAATTCTATTGAAGATGTCCCAAAGATGCATCAATGTCTGGAAAATGGCTATGGCAGGAAAGCAAGGATGAGTGGCATTCCTCTGGAATTGGGGCCACACCTGGTAAAAGCCAAGCAAATACAAAAAGGAAAAACAATCATCTCCTTATTGAGCAATGCATCTCACTTTATTGAGCAATGGAAAGTTTATCATTATACATTATAAAGCAATGCCTACTACTAACTAATATAGCAATGCCAGTGGCATTGTATGTTTCCATAGCAACGCTTGCAACGTTCTTCGTACATAATCTGCATTGACGTTAGATTTCAAGAAACGTTTCGAGAAATTTGTCACAACCGCAATACGGTATATCATGAGATAACTTTTACAGGTCATCTTCTTCCTCACTACTGGTGGAGTCGTCCTCATCACCGCTGAATTGACTGTTGTCACAGTTGACACATTCTTCCCCACAGGAACATGCCTCTGTGCAGTGGAGTTCGTTCTTGACGCAAGAGCACCTACGGGTTTCACACTTTCCTCTGCAGCCACAGCACACTAGCTCCATTACAGATTCCAGGGCCGGCGCGAGGTCGGTCCAGTTGATCTCCAGCGCCTCTCCTCTAACTCACCATCCTTGACCATCTGGTCCTTGGTTTAGAATTCTTGCATCCAATGCATGTTTCCAAACATAAGCTTGGTAGTTTGCGCGTTGTAGATGCTTCTATGGGGCAGCATGGGTGGGAGGAAGCTGGTACGACTATAGATTCTGGATTTTGCAGAATAACTTGTATCTCGTATCGTTGACTATACAACAACTAAAATCATTGTAAAGTGAACAAACGAACTTCTCCATTTTTCCAAGATCTTCTCTGATTGGTGGGACACACTCGCCGATTCTATGGATACTTGCTCTGCTGTTTTCGTCAGCTTTCACGACATCAAGATTATTGAAAAATTCTGATGGAGATTTTTATATATCCTCTAAAATAGAAGAAACACAACGAAATTAGTACCCTCAAAAGATCACCATTTCACATATTTTCAAATAAGAGTAGATTTTGCTTCTATTCAAAAATTACGTTTAGCGAAATTTCTAACCAAGAGCCGGAGATAACAGACCTTTGTGACGTTTTCGTCTCCCAAAATCGAAATTACTGACCAATCTATACTAGTTCTTATGGGAGTTGAATATACTCGATTGTCAAACAAGTGCCTTGAATATGTCTTCAGTTTATCAACTATAATTTAGGAGTGAATGCCTTCTTGTCGACAATGTAGCCATCGATAAAAATAGCTTTGTATATCACATGCCTTCTGAATTTTGTTACGACTACTAGGTCCTCTCCAAATGATTCTCTCATCTTAGCGCCTGAAATGAACGAGTACCAGGGCAGTTTCTGTTACCTACTGATTAACGGGTGAAGGTATCATGATAGGTGATTTTTACTCAAAACACTTAAGGGGAATCACGTTTTCTCCGCTGTTCGAACTGCAAGGAGCGAGATAAAAATTTCGCAAATAGAATGGATGCAAAAGTATTTCTTACTCTAGATTTAAACAGGAAAAACCTTATTTTGAATATCATAAAACAACTATTGCGTTTTGACATGCTCCTATCACCATCAACGAATTTTACAGCCAGCTATTACATGATGTGTATTGCTGTGTAAATATCATTCGAAAGACGAGAATAACACGAAAACTTCTCTAGAACAACTATACTAGAAATAGGCTTTTTCCGCGATAAATGTTTCTTACATGTCCCGCAAAAAAAAAAAATTCTTAGTGTCGTGAGATGAAGTCACGCGTTTAGCTCGTTTACGCTCGTCCTATGACGGCGTTGACTCAACGAAAAAATCCGCAGGATTGTTCTGCGAAACCTCCTTTGAAAATAAATGTCAAGCTTTCGTTTGATTTCGCTTTTTTTCAAAAGTTAAGGCGCCTTTCGTAGAAAGAAATAGGACATCGAAAATTCCAAGCTTTCAGAGGGTGTAAAGAAAAAGAAAACAGCCACGGCACATCTGGAAAATTACCATCACGTCTATGAGGGTTATACGTGGAAGAATATTTTCTTCAGTAATCGAAATGCAGAGACGAACCAGTTGAAAGCGAATATGTAATTCTGAATATTTCTTGTTATATTGCTGCTTCGTTACCTTTCAGGGAAATTTCAAAGATAAAGTTGTTGTCAATAACTGAGTTGAGCAGCTTTTGAAATGGAACGAGTGAGCACAGCGAACGAATTAATGGTTTTATAGTGTGTATTAGCGAGTAACTAAAAATTGTGCAAAGCATTTACCATACCTCCCCTTATTATCATTATCAGAGAATTAAAGTACTTTGAATTGTACTGATAGGTTCTTAAACTAAGCGCGATAAGGCCTCCTTTTACAGTCATTTCAAAATGATTCTAAAGTTGTGGCTGAATATCATGTTTCTGATGTCTCGGATTGGTGTAATTTACGCCACCGGTCAGTGCTATGAAGGGGAACGCTCTATTGGTGGAATGTTGCTTAGAGGACACACTCTTAAGACGTACCGGGTTGGGTAAGAGATGTCAAACTGCTGCACGATTCTGGCCATCACCAGATGGAGCTCTAACTCGGCAATACGTCGACCGAGGCACATACTCGTTCCGAATCCAAATGGAAGAGAAGCGAAAGCTTCTGCTGATTCGATCAAAGCGGTATATTTGTTTCGCAACCATTTCTCCAGTTTAAACGCTTCGGCATCTTCAAAAATACTTTCATCTTGCCCTATTTGCTGAACAAGGAACTCAACTTGAGCAGTGCCCCTAGGGATATGGTAGCCCCCTAATATTATGTCCTCCGGTCTTCGCGGGATAGCAGAGAGAACAGGATATAGGCGGAGGGTCTCTCGTAACCAGGCCTTCAGGTATGGCATACGAGTGAGCGTTTCCGGCGTTGCAAAGGTAGAATTTCCAACCACTGAGAGCACTTCCTGTCAAAGAACCTTCTGTTTCTCAGGATTTTTGGCCAACATATAAAGAACCCATTGCATCGTGTTGGACGTAGTGTCAACTCCGGCAAACAGAACATCCATAACGCTCGCCAACAGGTCATCCTTCGCCAGCTTTCCGCAGGGCAGGAGGAACTCGAAGAACCCAGCTAAGTCACGGTCTGTTTCCTTTGATCGCTTGCTTGACTTCACCTCTTCATTCACCTCTTCATTCCTCTCCCGATAAATAGTTCGGCGTAGTCGTACATCGTGTCAAAATTATCATGGAAAAACTCTTTAAATCTCTGGCTCTCCTAGATCTTGTAAAACCAAGTAGGCAAAAAATCAACTGTAATGAAAGAGAAGTTCAATCCTTGCACAATTTAGGTTTTATTTAACAAGTGAATAAAGGGGTAAGTTGTTAACACTAAATTACCTGCTTCGTTCAACAAGACCTCTTGCTTACATAGTGAACAACATAAACATGGCGGCCCTAACAAAAACAAGTCCGCTGTCATGTGCGATTTAACAACTCCACTGACACGTGCGTGGACACTTAACTAGAAAGGAAGCCCAGTAATTAAAGATTAAATCGCCACACTGTCACTACACTGACCTCGACCGCATTCGCCAGAAAATCTCCGACGGCTTTTATGAAGGTCTGTGCCTCTTTGTTGATTTCCTCTTCAAGACAGCCAAACCTTTCGTCAAACAACACCTCCGCCGCACACTTAAACGACCATTTGAAAAGTTCATTATCGAGTTCACAAACTTCGTTTTCTTTCCCTGACCCTCCAGGCTCTCGAACTGATCGTAATCGGTGAATAAAATGGCCGATAATTTTATTGAGACCCGGAGTAGAGTTGGCGACTTCTTTCGGTCGAAGCATTCTTTTGCTCAGGACGCTCCGTAGCTTGTACCATTCTTCGATTAGTTGGAAGATTTAAATTCTCCCCCCGAACAACCCACGGCCAGTTTACCGTCGTCCGTGCCCGTGGGTAGGGAATGTGAACCTTGCCTTAATGGGTGGGGCAATTAAACTGAAAGTGTCAAGGCTCTCCAGCGTAGTACACGTGTTTTAATTCAGTAGCTTGAAATGAAAGAGTTTGCTATTGTAAGCAAATGGCTTAGAAAGACAATTTTCATATCGTAGATTTATGCTTAGAAGTGAAAAACCCAACAGCAGCACCAAAACCTGATACGTGACTTTGCTAAATTCTACAACATTCGTTGGTCTCAAACTCAATTCAGCCCATAATAATTAATAATTTACAATAATTTATTAATTTATAGTGCGCTTTTTAACATGCTGAGTGATCAATAGCGCATTACAACGATAAGTTACCTAAATTATACTTGTGTAAGACATACACAATAAATTCCAGAGATGATAAATAAATCACATCATTTGTATATAGATATTTACATATCTAAGAAATATTGAAAGCTAATTTAAAAAGATAAGTTTTAAGACATGACTTAAAAGTTGAAATGCATGCTGCGAAGATTAGCAGGAGGAGCATTCCATAAAGTGGGCGCAGCGTATATAGCATAGTAGACATAGTATGCAAACCAGTAAGTTTGCATACTAGAAGGGCCTCAATCAGGACAATCAGGGGTTAACCGTTAGTCATAAAAAGGTGACAAAATGTAGCTGTTAGGAGTAAAGATCGGCAAATTCTAACCTTTAGTCGCTTTGACGACTTAAAAAAGCTTTAAAAAGCCATCACCTCATTGAGACCCTTTACTAATAGTCTTGTTTTGTTGGAAAACGGGGGATTGAGTAAATACTGATATCGTTATATCAAATCCTGATGACAGTTATTTGTTTTAAACAAGGAGCTTCTGCCCAAGAATCTTCGCACGGGCCTCGTGCACGCTTTTAACAACATCTTTTTTTCTTTCGATAAATTTTTTTATCACCCGGAATATCACCTGAGGAAATTCTGCTGTACGTGTGATACACACGCGTGATGGTCGAGCATTAGCTTGTGTTTCCTACTCTCATGAGCTCAAACTTATAATCAATTTTGCGTGTCAAAAGCATGTATATGTCTTTGGCAGATGATGTCGGGAAATACAAGCTTTTCAGTACTGTGTACCGTAGAGCGGTATGTCAATAGAACGTTAATGATCAGACAATTTAGAAATAGTAAAGACACCATAACATAGTGAATAAAAACAAACAGTTTTGGTGCAGCAATTTGCAAGAAGAAAAAACATAAAGAAAAGCTGTTTGTAAAATTTGTAAAAAATGTGCGAGAATAATTAAGATATCCTGCTATTGTATTAATTGAGATTAGTGCCAGAATTCATTAATTAAACATAAAAGTTATGAAAACATATTGCTCTGCGATAAAAGTTATTGAGGCTATTTATCACATCAAACAAGAAACAAATCGAGAGACACGCAGGAAGTTGCTTTGTATGATAAAGTACTCATAACGCGGCTATCGTTTATGTTTAGCACAAGCCACTCTAAATTTAAAGACATATTTCAGCAGAGGTAAATTAAGCTTAGTTGAGGTAGGGTAAATAATTTCTTTTGCATTTATAAGATCATGTAACAAGTTTCTTTCCTTTCTTTGCTTGGATAAGCTTTCCGTAACAAAGCCCTGTTATATGGCCTATAACGTTTTGTTTACTATAAAAAAATTATTTGGAGACTCCTGTAATTTGAAAAAAACTATCATCGAACTCTTAGGGAATGCAAAGTACTTTCGGTGTGGAAGCATTAGAAAGTAGATCTGGTTCGTTCGTAAAAATTGTGACGAAAAAATATCGAAAAATAAGTTCTGACGGTTTCCAAAGGGGGGAACTGTTTCTAATGACAAAAAGAAGAAAGATTTGCCAATACAAAATTGCGGCTCATGCCTAGTATGCGTACATCTAGGTATGGATTCATGATCACGCGGGGATGTTTGGAGAGGACGAGAAAAGCGTGAGAGTCGCTCGAGGCGCAGCTGAGAACATATTTATCCGCTTTAGTGCTCTATGACGTAGCTGACACAATTTATGGCCGAAAAAAGCGTTTTACCCTAAATGTTGGTTTTACCAGATATTATCTTGTTATCCTAAAAGTGTGCCACAAATAAAATGCAAGGCTTTTGAGTGGATTTGATAATTTTTGGCGAGCAATAAACAAACGAAATGGCGACCTTTGTTACTAAGAATAGTGGTGGGGTGAAAAAGAAGCCAATGATAATCTTAAAAGAGTTTTTTTTTTTCGTTTTAGCTTCAACAAGCGGCGCCAGCGACAGGCAGGCATGCAATGATTCACACTAAATAACAGAACAACCTTCGTTTTTCATAAAATTGTAATTTACAATCCTTGAACTTGAAAACAATTCAAAGATTCATTGAAAATATCACTTACTGCGAAGCGCTCGGAGTTTACAGATGTTCAAAAGCTTTTTCTGTTATGGCGTGAGATTGAGGACAAAATCGATCATTACGTTTCGTATGGTGTGTTTTTCCTGTGTGAGGCAACAAAAGATGCCAGCGACTGACGAAATTACAAGTTATCACGAAAATCAAATAACACCTAAACAAACAATTTTAGCTACTGATTTTCAGTAAATTTTTAAAGAACAATTTTCTTTTAAGTTTCAAGACAATTTGAAAATTCAAAATAAATATTACGTACTAAAATGCGAAGGTTATACACCACAAAATTGATAAATAGGCCTGAAATGAAATTCTATCTTGTTATTGATAATACGTTGCCTAGCACGTGACTAAAATCTACCCAGGCGGAGATCCAAAATGACGGTGGCAGTCTTGGCTTAGTTATATCACTCAAAACTCGTTCCTGTTTGTCTCATTTGAGAGGGAATCGTTAATGTTTTCATTAAGACAGTATTGCCTTGGTTTTCTAATAATATTTACAATGGTAGACAGTAAATTTCACTTTTCACCCACATTTACTTCCAACCTTTTCTTTTGAACCAGAAACAAAAATGATTTACGTTTAAAACACATGACACCATCCACCTTTGTCGAATGTAAAAGCATGATCATTTCAATTGTAATGCCTTCTTATCCCAACGTTACTTTGTTTCTTTGCTGCGAAAACCTGTCGTACTCTAGCAATCAACCACAAAATTCCCTAAACCATATAACATTAAACATAATCCAAAAAATCATGTTTCAATTCACGAGTTTGCTCACAGAGCACTTTGATTCTTCAAGGCGACTTAGCGATAATCGTAAAAGCGTAAAACCGCTCGAGCAAACCGTTCAGCCGGTTCTTAAGTGCAATTTGGTGTTAATAAGCACGAGTAAATGGATTTTACTAAAAGCGGTAATGGAGAATAGAGAAGAGAAATAGGAACTGTGAAATAGAGAATATGAAATAGGGAATATGAAATAGGGAATGGGGAATGGCAGAACTTATTTAATTTCAAGATGGAAGATAAAAGTTATATTTTCATTTGAGTGTTTTTGATACATAACACTTTTGCTTAAAAGAGATTTAAAGTTACTTCTGAAAATTAGAGAAAAAACATCCTACGCTTCGAGTGATGAAGAATTCATAACTTGACAATCATTTAACAAATAGAGAAGCCTTGACTGTGCTCTGTTCTGTTATGAAGCACGCAGGAAGCGGCTAGAGCACGAAAGAAGTGTAGGGAGAAACACGAGATGTAGTCGAGTGTTTCTCCCCACTTCTTGAGTATACGTATACGTCTACGTATATGTATACGTTATATACAATAACAGCGCTCGTTATATCCGAACTTTATTATAATATAATTATATTTAGGAGCAGCAACTGTCGACATTTAACGCAACCTACAAGACATTAGGAGACATACTTCTGATGAGGTAAATTGAGATCGAAATTCGATATTTCTATTCCATTTATAAGACCACCTTAAAAGTTTCATTTTTTCATGTCTTTGGGTAAACTTTGCATAAAAAAACCTCGTTATGGCATATAAAACTTTGTTTTCTACGGATTTTTATTCGGAGACTCTAGTAATTAAGAAAAAATAGTAATAAATAAACTATCATCGAACTTTATAAAAATTGAAAACCTACAACGTCCTGTCCCGTCCCTTGAAAAGTACAAAAGTAAAGAAAACCAATATCTGACATCATAACTCTTTTGGCTGTTTTGAATTACAACAATAAGCAAACGCCAACCATTGCAAAAGGGAAAATCGTCGAAAAAAATAAACAAATAGATTATTTGCAATAACCGGAAACGGTAATCATTTTTTTAATGAAAATAATTTTTGTCGGCTGATTTTATGGGACCTGGACTGTGTCTCGGGTTCATAAAAAAGCAGAAGGAGAACGCGGCCAATATCTAGCTTTCTTGACTCCACGCTTGTTTTAATAACGCATATAAAGTGCAGTGTCACTTCTTACTGCTATCGATGATTAGTTTTTCGTAACTTAATTGAACAGAACACGTTCATGTGTTTAATATTAATACGTTCAACTGGTGGAGGCCGAAGGAAATCAAAACAACAAAACCTTTTTGGATTGACTTATCCTTCTAAGGTGTAAATTGAGGTATTAATTTGACTGAAAATCCATATACAACTTAATCTTAGCATTGTTAACTGTGTTGATCGGTACTTAATTTGTGTGCAGCAATTGGCACCTACATTCACCTCAGAATGAATCCAAAGTTCTGGTTGCCAACCATGTTTCTGATGTCCCGGATTGGTGCACTCAACGCTAACAGCCAGTGTCGTGTAACGGAAAGCTCCATTGGCGGAATGTACCTGAAAGGTCACGTGTTTAAAATGTATAGCGATCAGTTGCCTGAAGAGTGTTATTTCCGGTGTGAAGAAGAAGTCACATGTCAGAGTTACAATATCGTCATTGGTCAAAAAATCTGTGAACTGAATAATCGTACAAAGGAAGCAAGACCGGAAGATTTTATGCCGGATCAGAGGAGATTTTACATGAAGCGTTTTAGAAACAGAGGTACAATTTACGTTCCCTCGATCAGCAATTTGCATCTGCATCTGCATCGTTCACGATTAAAGAAAACTCAAATATCAGAGAAACAAAATTTCTATATTTAGATATATTCCTATGGCGACCCTTTTGATGATTCAATTTCGGGGATTGTTTCAATATTGGTAAAGTATTTCAAAATACAGAGACAAGTCAAAATTAAAGGAACGACGTTTTGGAATCATTGTCTCATCAACGTCATTGTGGGAAGATAATATTTGACTGAATTATGAAGTCAAGCAACTCTTTTCCTTTGTCACCTTGAAAGTTGTTTAACGATGATACCAAAATTTTGGTTTGTTTCGCTGCGTTATTGTTGCTGTCTTCCATCTCATTTCTTAGTCTAGATCTGATAGAATTAGCAAGTTTTTATTTCTTTCTGCTTTTACGCAG